GACACCTTAAATTAAGATCCCTAACCTATGCTGAGTAAAATCTTTGGTTGATGATTTGCCATCCGATGATGAAGGGCTTGTGTTCATATCGGTGTTTGTGTTTCAGATTTTTTGGACTTATAGTTATGTGTTTCTTTAGTTGTTTATTAGTAGTTTAACTAGTTTAAGTTTTATTTGTTAGTACATTTGGAGGCTTATGCCTCAAAACGCCTCGCCTCTCCGCAACAAACCCCCTGGATACTTGAACTAGCCCTTTTAAACCTTGGTTTAGAATAATTATTATTTATCTTCTTCAACGGTAACAGTATTTCTTTTTAGAAACTAATATGATATCTAAACACTCATCTAGAAGCTAGTATCATTCAACGAGAGTAGAAACGGGGCACAATTCTATGACATAAGTAATAAAGCTGTTTTTTGGGACCGGAAGCAGGGGCGCGTGCCCCCATGCCCGCCTAGGTCCTCCACTAGATAAACCAATCAAATGTCTAAAGGTAATATATAGTTATTTTTTGGGACCTCCTACCTTAGCCTATCTGTGTCCCCCACCTCTTTAGACCTCAACCCACAAAGGACAAAATGATTAAAGATTTATTTTTAATATCCTGGATGAGTAAATGCTGCTTTAGAAATGCACTGACATTACATATACTCTTTTGAACCAAAGAAGTGACGAAGTTGCTTGCAAAAGCATAGAGATTGTGGGAGCATTATCATTGATGTCCATTGAGATGAACGGACACATAGCTTCTGAAGAGCAGATTGTGAAGGGGTTGGTTGCTTTGTTGAAGAGTTCTAATAGTCTCAGATCAATGGCTGCTTGTAACTCTATTCTCGATCTTTCTACCACGTCGATCGGACGAAAACATCTTGTTGACTCGTTTGCCATTGAGAATCTAATGTGAGTACCATTGTCATCCTTCCTTGTCATAATGGAATACCAATAACTTAATTAGAACAGTATTACAGTAATCCATAACAAAACAACAAGGTTGAGTTGTAATTCTAATACATGCACCCATTATACCATTTGCTCATAAAAATGGATCTCGGTATGCATGACATTGTAGAATCAAAATGCCATAGAATGATGCCATTATATCTCACCTTCACCTACTCTTCTTTAGTGGGAGGTTTTGAAGGGTAGTCAAGGAGAGGAGTGATACTTACGTTGTTAATTTATTTTTACATTATACGGTTGGAAAAGAAAATGATTTTCAATTCTAAGACTAACAAGTAGCGAAATATTAGTAAAAACACAACTAGATTTTTTTCATGAGAATCATTTCTTGTTTTTTTCAATGATGACTAGGTCATCTATATTTAATGATTTTGCATTCTCACGTCTCATTTGAGGTCTAACTTGATATTGGAGAAAAATATGTAAGAATCTGTAGTTTCTTTTTGTTGAATTGTGCTCCACATTTTTCCTTAGAAACCATGTTAAGCTATAACTAATGGCAAGATTGTTTTATAATCCTGACTTACTATTTGTTAGTCTTCGCTTCTTTCAGGACCCTAAATCATCTACTCCTATGGTGTCTATTCTTTCAGATGGGAAGTGTACTGAAACATGCCCCAAAATTGTTTTCAAGGATGACAAGTTGTCAATATTGCTTGTGAATGCTATCATAATTCTTCTTAATTCATGCACAATCGAACAGCTACATAAGATCCCAGTAACCCTCTCAAGGGGTTTGCTGTTGCATTTAAAAAAGGTGTGGGAAGAAGTTCATCAACTGGAGCTTTGTGGTATCTCTGGAAATTGCACACAGGATGGAGTTTCTTACATAAACAGTATTCGGACGAACAATCTGGCTGAAAGTGTTTTCAGGCTCTCCATGGATATTAATCCATGTAGAGCACCTTCAGTTGGTTTTTTTAATGCAGAAGATACGAGTTTGGAAAATTTTATGTCGAACATTTGGGAGTCATCACCCTTTCTGTTAACAAACTCTAAGCTGAAAAATGTAATAAGTTCTTTTATAGACTTCAGTAAATTAAGGGAGTCGGTCCCTTCCTTTTTATCCTCGATGTTAAGAGGACTTATTCATTGTCCACCTATTCCTTCAGACGAACATGACATTCTACATTTCCTAGATGAGGTAAGTAATAGTTTAGGTTGTCCGATTGTTCACCAAGAGGATATTCGTGTTGTCAAAACACATGATTCAGAATCTGAGTTGCACTATTTTCAAACACAAACAGATAATATAAACTACGAGTTCCCCATCATCTTTAGCAGTGCCGATATACTCAAGTGTGAGCAAGCATACAAGGAAGGTTACACAATTGCTTTACGCGGTATGGGGTTTCGATATACGAGCATTGCTTCCGTTGCGGATGAAGTGGCATCTATGTTTGGTCAACCTTCAATAGGAGTAAACTTGTACCTGACACCTCCTGGCTGTCAGGGGTTGGCTTGTCACAGTGATGATCACTGTGTCTTTATCTGCCAACTCATTGGGGCAAAAAAATGGAATATTTTCTCCCCAGCTGGTAATCGCCTACCTCGCTTGTACGAAGCTCTTGAGAAGAAGGAAAGAGGTATAATGGACGCACACAAAGAAGTTTTGCTGAAAGAGGGTGACATTTTATATATTCCCAGAGGCCACCCTCACGAGGCACATACTATCGGTTATGGTGGAGGGTTTGACACATCCCCTGGCTTTTCCTTGCATCTAACTCTTTCTATTGAAGTTGAGCCCCCATTCGAGTAAGTGTTTTCTTTTGGACTGGTTTGTAGTGTGAGGATGTGATCAGTTTAAAATTTTAAAAAAAACATGAGCTCTTTTGTGCGTAAAACAAAAGGTTGAACAGGGAAAATATGACATTTTCCGGGTCCTTTTGGTAATTGTTATTTTTCTGAAATTGTTTTTTAAGGAAAATCATTTGAGCAAAAATAACCAAGTGAAAAGCTATTTATTTTGACGGTTAGAAGAATTTACTTGGGTAATTTGTTTGCACACCAACTAGATATTTTATCAAACACTATTTTTTTAATTTACGCGCTAAATTAATATATATGAAAAAGGTAAGGTTGGATGTTTTTTGGCTGGATTGGCTTAAGATTTGGCATGCAACCTTTTCTTCACGTTAGTAATAAAATACAGATTATTTTAAATATATATTTTCATATCTCAATAGATTCAGTCATTGAGCCATAAATTCATACTACGTAATTTTCAGGAGATTCAGTCAATTTTAGTGTAACTAAATGGGGCCTAAATTTGGACCAACCTACATTAGTGAAGAAATACCCGAGGATTTTCATTTTTCTTTCGTTTTGTACCTTCATTGAAAAATTTCCATTTATAAATCATACTCCGTATCACCGTATGTATTAATGTAGATGAGCCTTTTTTCACTGCACAATGAACAACGTAGACCTCGAACGCTAGAGTATTCCAAATATTTAATGCCAATCAAAGGTAATTTCTTATGTCTTTACTTATCTATTGAAAATATTAGGATGAAGGCAAATAGAAAGAAATTTTGGAGAGAATAAAATATAAGTTTAGATCAACAAATTAATTAATATATTGGTTCAAACTCATTGTATTTATTTCTGTTATATGATACTATGAAATCTGTATATCTGTAAAAAATGTATATTTGTGTGATTGCAGGTGGGAAGGCTTTGCCCATGTTGCCTTGGATCATTGGTGTAGGAGACAAAGTATAACTCGATATATACTTGCAAATTCAGAATCACTGGTTTTACATAAGATATCAGCAATCCTGATTCATATCGCCGTGAAACTTTTCGGTGATACTGACCCAATATTTCGGAAGGCTTGTTTGGTTGGTGCACTTTCCCGTGCATGTGAACATACAGATTGGCTCGTAGTTAACCAGAAGGAGATTTTCAGCCACATTATTTGTAAAATAAGAAGCGAGGCAACATTTGTAGATGTGTTGAAACAAGTGGAAGTCGGCATTGAGAAACACGAAGATCTCTTCTCTCATTTCAAATGGATAAGGCATTTGTTAAAGGGGGAACATGAAACGGACACCAATAGTATTCATTTAGTAGATGCTAATGATGTTATTCATCAAATTAGTCAAAACAGAGACGTGGCTGAAGCTGTTTTTTACCGGGTAAAGTCAAACTTCTGCAATGAAGTAGCATTTGAGGATGTGCAGCCGGACTATGTCACACTGCTTGATGATTATAGGAAGGCACGCAAGCAATATGCTAATGGAATGCTTTCTCTACATTGCAATGACAACTAAGATGTTACAACCATTTTTGGTGAATGTGTCAGTGTTCTGTCATGTATCCCGTGGTCATTGTATGCAAATGAAACTCTCGGAGGACAGGGGCATTATCGGAAGGAAAGTTTGATACATTTTGTGCTTATGTTACTGTTCTAGGTAGAGCAGACAGAATGCTGCTAGTCAACGATCGGGCTTGAGTTTTGTTCATTGTCATTCAAGTTTTCCTGACCACCGTCATTGCAACACCTCATGCTCTCGTTTGGTATTACGTAGTATGATTTTTATGCTTATAACATACTTCCTAGTTCCTACTTAATTCGCCCTGTTGGTTTAATTGACTGAGAATGAAAAAGTATGTGCAAGTGTTTTTTTTTTTGGCCTGAAATGATGTAAATATAAATGATCTTTTCCTTTCACTCTTTGATAGAGTATTATTTTAAAAGCATTTTTAGATAAGGTAGCTCATATTGGTGCATTTTGTCATTTTATCTACAAATTTAGCATATTTAATCAATGGAGAACGATTTTACCCCATTGGTTGCTCCTTGGTAAAATATGTATGTCCTTGCAATGAGGTAATATTTAATTCTTTATCTACATTTTCATTATTTTTCCTACATTACATGGCAAAAGTTTATACATTTTTTAGATACACTTGCAATGAGGTAATATTTGTGAAATAAAGAGCGGTAGTTCATCAGCAATTATTCATGAATCATGAGTAATACTTTGAAAATCCTAAACAAAGTGAAGTTTAATGATAAGTGGCACAAAGTAGTTTTTTTAACGTTAAACCAACAAATACATTAAATCAACAAAATGTTTTTTACTCGGTTGACAATACAATTAGAGAAAAAGCAAGAGACAAAATGATAAAAATCCTTTTGTTTATCGTCCGCTCTTGATTCAGACTTAGAATCTATCACCTCTGTAGAAGAAATAAAATTCGTTGATTCTGTAATGGGCACTGAGCCAATGACAGGCAAACCAGACTTCTCATCACCCGACCTAAATTCTAGAATTTTTCTACTAGGAAATAAGAACACACTCGAAACAACATGCAATTCGAAAGAAAAACACAAACAAAATAAAACGGAATCAAGACAAATTTCATTTATCTTCTTCCAAACCTTAGACTCTCTTGCACTCCATGGCGGTGGCTCGGGAGGGGGACGAGCCTGCCGTTCATCCATCTCAATAGTCATGCTTTTGTATTGATTGACGATATCCTCCTTTGATATCCCTTGCTGTTGAATTGAACCCAAGCTCCGCCACAACTTATCCGCCTTTTCTTTGTCTACCCTCGCCCGTCGACCAGAAACAGCAGCAGAAGACGAGCCACGACTGCCAAAGCGTTGCATCCCTGGTCAAGAGCCTGCTTGCACGAACAAAATTCACTGACGGTTGCTCTTCGTCATGACGAAAGAGGAAGAACAAAACCCTAGAGAGGGAGAGACCGCCTTTAGACAGGTCAATTCCACTACAAATAAACAATGTTTTTGTGATTTGAATGTGCGTTTTCACACAAAGTAGTTTATTATCTAATATGATAATGTTTCCTAAGAAAATTAGGATTCCATTGTAAAATGATACTATTTCTTATGTGCAAAATCAGTCTATATAAAATACTCCACAGTATATAATTTTACTCTACTTCACATGCATATTTTCCACTTATTTGGTTGTTTTTTGTAGTCATAATCATTTTCAGGTATTAGTACTATAACACCTAACATAAAATTCTTTCATAAGATTATGAATGGAGAGGAGCAAGCACAATGACATCCATATATTATAATGGAATGTAGTACATTTTTCAATTGTAATTATTATCAGGTCTCATAAAAGTACAACTGTACAAAACAAAAGAATCATAAATGTTATACGGTACAAAAAGTATAATAAATTTTCAAAAACCTATTTATATATCAGAATATTAATGATGTTGATAGCACGACCTTTCTTATTACATATAAGAATCTTTAACCCACATCGTGGCCCTTCAAAATTAGTAACGATATGTGATCAAATACATAGTAATAGAGGACATTTACGTTGTAACACCCCGGCCCCGAGGTAATTACTTCTGACCTCTAGTACTGTCCTCACAAACCGCCACGAGCCTTCCACGCGCACTTTGTCCTCACCCGTGCGCACCCTGAGAAACTTCGCAGGGGGTCACCCATCTCAAGACTACTCCCGTGCAAGCACGCTTAACTTTGGAGTTCTTGGGTGATGAGCTCCCTTAAAAGGAGATGCATCTTATTGGTATGAGTAGTACTATTAATCCTCTTAAATTAATCTCAAGTATTACATACGTCTTCTTCTATTTTGGCAATCACATGGACCGAACTTTCAGTTTTTTTTTATTTATTTGAAGAACCGATCTTTTAGTTCTCCATGATGGAAAGAATAACTTTCCTTCTATCAATGTGTTACGTCAATTGACTTATTCATATAACAATAAATATTTCTATTTTATTTGTCACCCCAATTGAGTTATCTAATTATAGAAATAAATTATCATTTCTTTTTATTTAATTTGTCATTCGGTCACATTCTTCTCCATTAAACTATAATTTATTTTCTATTCATTTATTGTGCATCCAATACCAATTCTAGTGTGTTATATCCTAGCTAATAGAAAGATGATTGGTTCATGTGCATTAAATATTGGTTTTTGTTTGTAAAATACTGATTTAAATAGTTATGATCACTATATATATTATACGTAGTATGTTAGGTACTGGTTTGAGGGCGTATATTCGTATTGTGCATTAGATATTGATTCTTGTGTGTTGTTATGTATTAGTTTAAATTGTGTGAAATTCTAATGCGTTAGATATTAATTATTTTTTAATTATTTTGTGTCAAATATTGTTCTTTGTGTATTAGATATTGCATGGTGTGCTTAAGATACTTGTTTTAGTTTTTCTTATATGTATTGTGTGTTAGATAATGATTCTTGTGTGTTATATATTAGTGCTGATGTGTCAGATACATTTTCATGTGCATGCGTAGCTGAAGATGCATATTTCTTGTGGTTAATTGTACACATATTATACTTATTTTTTAAAAACAAAATTATACTTGTTGTGATTCATTATGACCATACTATGTGCTAGATACGAGTCTTGTAACGTATATACATATTGTGCTTTAGATATTAGTTCATGTGTACTATATGAAGTCTTTATGGGTTCGATATTTTTTTTGTTATACACATTATGCACTGGATACTGGTTTTTGTGCCTTATATACATGTATGATATGTATAACTCTCTAGTGCGTTAGATATTGGTTTGTATATATTATATTCCGTAAAAGAAAGCTTTCACTTTTTTTGCTGATCTTTTTGGTAGCTATTATTGAGTACGAGACCAGTTCATATGCATTAGATATTGGTGATTGTGTATTAGATACATGCTCTTGTGCATGAGGTAGCTGAAGATGTTTCTTGTGCTTTATTGTATACATCTTATACATATTTTATTTTTAAAAATTATATAGGCAATATTGGTGTCATATGAAAGATCAATAAAAAGTTATTTAATTTGGTATAACACGGGATGTAATATGCAGATATTATAAATGCCAATATATAAATGCATTTATCACACATATGAGACAAATCATAAATAAAAAATCAGAAATATTAGAAGTTTAAAAAGTACATGCATTACAAAATTATTAAAGACCTTCTCAACGATTTTTTTTAAAGTTTTTTATATCAACTGTCGCCACATATTACGAACTTTAATTCAGGTAGACTTATCACCTTCGAAGCTTCGGCATACAACTATCCATCCATGTGTAAAAACGAGATATCACGAAAGAACACACAATTTGTAACAATTTTGTTTGAAAAAATATACACCTACTTCGGGCTTTGATAAATAAAACACCTTTCAAGGAATAATACAATGCATGAAGTGGATTTGTGGAACACGGGTTTACTTAGTGAACCTAAGAGACCAGATGTGCTACACAATATCCATCCAGCAAAGAGTTAGTTCATTTGTAGCAATCTTATCTAGCTATTTTGTTCTTTTCCTACACTTCCTCCAAGTTTGGGGTTCTTTCGCTTGCAAATCATCACAGAGATATCTCAATGTGGCAGCAAGGTGCTTGTTTCGATGTGCTGTGAAAGGAAAACTGAAATATTGCGGTCATGTGTGTTAATAATAGAGAAGTATTGAGTTAATGATAATACTGAGTAATAATGATACAATTACAGGATTAATCCACTCTCATTTTGTGAATTTTAAAATTATAGGGTAAAACTCAAGCAAGCAGCATCATCCACTCACTTGAAAGTATGGTATCTTCCATATAACTGACTCGAGCCATCATCATTTTCATCATTTTCATCATTTTCATTTACCCCAGTGCCGCAAAGGCTCCCACCTACGGTGGGGTAAGAGGGGGTCGGATGTACGCAGTCTTAGCCCTGTACTAAAGCACAAAGAGATTGTTTTCGGATGACCCATAGTGAAAATCGCGTCCAAAATTGCATTGACTGACTGTTGCTCCATAACAAAGAAGCGCAGACAGTTTAGTGAGCCATTTTGCTATATTCCATCATAATCTCAAGCCAAAAAATAATGAATCTTTGGCTCCATTGCAAATGATGGAAATAACTTGGGCCATCATGTTGTGCAAATAACTCAAGATCCTTCGCCCTGTTCTGCTCCCTGAGCAAAGCATGTTAATTTGCGAGTGCCCAACTTCAACTCTCATTATGTTTATTATGAGCCACAGTGCTAAGAACAGTAAGAGAGCATACACCTAAAAATGAAAATTCATATTGAGTTGAAAGGTAAAACTATGAAAAACACCAGGAAAATGCAAAACTTTGAACTCTAACCAAGTATTATGTCCCCAAAATGCAATGGCCGCAGCTAGGAGATTAAAATATGGATGAAAAAATATACCCCGTTGATTACCTTAAAACTAAAGTTAGAAATATGTTATAAAATGGATATATAGGTAGGAAATTCATCCTTCAAAAATTCTATCCAAACTGCATATATTATAAAATATGGATGGAAACAATGTACCCCGTTGAATAAACTAAAACTAAATTTGGAAAATATGTTATGAAATGGCTTGATGGTCAGGAAAATGAGATGAAACCTACTGTAAATGGTCTCCTAGCATCATATGAGTTTCAAAGTTTACTTGAAACAATGCCAAAAGTAGACATAAAAAGAAGTGCTCAGTATTCTAATCTAGTAACTGAAAGTATAAAATAACTATTAACTGAAATACTCATAAATTATTAACTGATATAGCTTTCGAAACAAAGCATATCAAGCCCAAAGTGAAATTGTTTCTAAACATATGATAAACCATAAAAATGTTATTTTAAAACATATTGTTTATGAGCAGTTTGTTTGTAAACATTAAATATCAAACCTGTTTTTTCAAACTGATTACTAATAAAAAAGTATGAAATCAAAAAGATTAAACATGTTTTTAATAATACTATTCTGCCTTAGATTTTTTTTTTACCCCGGAAAACAAACCACCAAAATCAGTGGGGCAGGAGCCGGGGGTCAGCTGCCAAAATATTATTAAAAATGCGATTAGATACAAAAGGAGAAGGGGACCAAACGAAAACTCCTCCGAAAAAAGCTAAGAAAAAACTTAGCAAATAATATAGGGTGTGTCAATAGAGTCCTCCGAAAAAAGCTGCCTTAATAAAAGTTGGCATCATAGAAGCTAAACATTACACATCACATCAATAAACTTAAAGAAACCTAAAGAGCTTTCATCAAAGTCCCCATATCTGGGTCAATGTAATCTCTTCAGACCCAATATAATCAGTCCAACAAAAAGGCAACACTGCAATTAAAGATTGAAACTTTAGCATTATGGGCTTCTAGAAATCATCGAAATTTGCAGTATCAGGGTCCAACAAAACTGAAAAGTTCACTTAGCACCAAATTCAAGCTATTTGGAACTTGTATTTTTCACATATCATACTTTTTATCACAATTCCTTTAGACTTGTTTGATCCAAGTTAAAATAGCATATCCAATCGTATTATTACTGAAGAACTATGACCTAAATTACAAATCAAAATGAATAGGTTGTGAGTTACCAGGTCGGAAAGGGTCTGTCACAGGATGAGAAATCTTATATACCCATAGCCTTTTTGACAAAAAGATATCATCTTTATTTTTTTTTGCACCCAGAGAGGCAGAGATTGATGTAAATAATTTATTGTCAGGATTCATTCACATTATTATTATTATTATTAATTATATGAAAAATGTCCAAACCCAAATATTTGAGAAGTTTGAGTGGCATTGCTTATCCGGAATAGAATATTTATAATAAATTGAATTTATATTGATGGGTGTGATTTTATTTTATTTTCTGAAGCATAAAAAAATATCTACTTAACTCAGCGGTTTAGAGTACCGCTTTCATACGGCGGGAGTCATTGGTTCAAATCCAATAGTAGGTAGAACAACTTATTAGATACCATCCACTAAGATATCTAATAAGTTTGTGACCTATCCTTTTGAATAGAGATTCGTTTTTTTTTAAAAGAACGGCTTTTTAGGAAAGAATATTGATCGCCTTTACCCGTGTTCGAGCTCGACGTAGAGCTAGATTTGCCTCAATTTTTTGTCTCTTTCCTCCAGCTTTTTTTAAAATCTCTTTTGCTATTTTAAGAGTTTGCTCGGCTTCTTGGGGATCAATCTCACTACCTTTTTCAGCATCATTTACCAAAACAGTGATTTCATTATTCACTATTCGAGCAAACCCCCCATCAGTGCCGTCGTTAACCATTGGCCGTTAAGGCGTATTTTCAAAATACCTATATCTATAGCTGTGGCAATAGGTGTGTGATTGGGTAATATTCCAATTTGCCCACTATTAGTGGATAAAATGATTTCTTCCACTTCTCAATCCCAAACAATTCTATTAGGGGTCAGTACACAAAGTTTTAAATTCATTTATTCAAATCCTTCCCTATTTTTAAATTTCTAAGTTTTTAAGTTAATTGCCTTGGCGGTAACTTCATTGATATTCCCTACCAAATAAAAAGCCTGTTCAGGAAGACCATCTAATTCGCCAGCAAGGATTAAATGAAATCATCTAATCGTTTCAGCGAGATCTACATATTTACCTGGAGAACCTGTAAATATTTCTGCTACGAAAAAAGGTTGTGATAAGAAACGCTCAATGTTTCGTGCTCTTGCCACGTTTAAACGATCTTCTTCGGATAATTCGTCGAGCCCAAGGATAGCTATAATGTCCTGAAGTTCTTTATAACGTTGTAATGTTTGCTTGACTCTTTGCGCAGTTCCATAATGTTCCTCACCAATGATCCGAGGTTGCAGCATCATTGACGTTGAATCCAAAGCATCAACTGCTGGATAGATACCTTTAGCAGCTAAACCTCTTGAGAGTACGGTAGTTGCATCTAAATGCGCAAATGTCGTAGCAGGAGCAGGATCAGTCAAATCATCTGAAGGTACATAAACTGCTTGGATCGAGGTTATGGAACCCTCTTTGGTGGAAGTAATTCTTTCTTGTAAAGAACCCATTCCTGTACTCAAGGTCGGTTGATAACCTACAGCAGAAGGCATTCTGCCCAGTAAGGCGGATACTTCTGATCCCGCTTGGATGAAACGAAATATATTGTCAATAAATAGAAGTACATCTTGCCCATTAACATCTCGGAAATATTCCGCCATAGTTAGGGCAGTCAAACCAACTCTCATACGAGCTCCTGGTGGTTCATTCATCTGACTTTCAAGTTTAGGATTAGCTTGCTAACTTAGGATTGAGATGTATCACAACGACCCAATTTAGTCAAAGCTAAAACTAGTAAATCCACCTTGCATCCTTCTACTTTGAAAATGAGCCATTTAGACATACTCCATAAGTAACATTTTTAGTAGTCATCGTACATAATATCCTACCCCATATTAAAAGTGGACATTTTTTAACACAAAGAGCAGACAAGTAAGAAATGTCATTGAGGACTTTTAGCAAACGCATTCCAAACAAAGTATTGATCCAAATTCAATCTCAAAACTTTAAAGTGAAATGCAAAAATTAAATAATTCAAGAAAGAAATACAAAGAAACTAAACTTGGAGATGTTCAACTATACCAGATGGGTGTGAAATAACGATCGTTTATGTGAAATGTTAAAAATTAAAGCATACCACTGTGAGGCTTGACGAATCTCTTAATTACATCTCACTGTAATGTTTCGTGATGTTCTATGGCAATAGGTGGGCTTCTCTTGTGTAAGAAGGGGAAACAGGTGGAGAATGTCAAACGAAATGAGATGAAAAGGTGAAGTCGTTCATGTCTGTCACTTGGCGAAGACGATGGAGGAGAGGATGGAAGCAGTTGAGATTGATAGTATGGAAATTGATGTGGGGGAGATGACTAACAAATCGAGATTCGAGAGGGGGCAGTGAGGCGAAGTATGAATCCCATGAGAAAGCACGGGTGAAGGGAAGACGGGAAGACAAGTTGAGATGTGAATAGGTGATGGACGGGATTACTGTTCAATGAATGGTGATAATATTGTTCGGTGAACAGTAAAAAATTGTATTGTTATTATGTATGTATAGATATAGATTAAGAATTCATCAGAGGTAGATAAGTCTACATATTAAGGTTACGGGATGTGCATATTAAGGTTGTTGGATGTGCATATTAAGAGCACATGATGTGCATTATATATTTATAATGTCTGCACAATAGAAGTTCATATATTTCATTTTAGTAAGGTAACATATGCATTGTACAACATCATTTTATGAATCTTATAATTATGACATCTGCATTTTAGATTGAAGTCATATGAAATTCATGGCTTCACAAGATGCATAATACTCCCTTCGTCCCTTATAACTTTGCCAACTTTCTTTTTTTGGATGTCTCACTAACTTTGCCACCTTCTCTTTTAAGTAAAGAATGTGTGGTTCCAGTTCATTCTCTCTCCTCTGCACAAACATCAACCACACAGTTTTTACTTTATTATTCTCCGTGCCGGTCAAACTTGGCAAAGTTATTAGGGACGGAGGGAGTATATTACAAACGTCTTCAATTCCAAATGGTACAATTTTTGCATACTAAAATTACAAGAATTTTGCATGAACATAAAATTGATGACATGTGCATCGTAGAAGACCATTTCCTGCATCTTATCGTTATGACATTTGCATTGTATACTCAATCGAAATGCATATAAATTTCATGGTGTCACATGATGCATAATATAATATATGAGAAACATGTTTTAAACGGTAAATAATATAACATGTTGGATACTAAAATTACAAATTTTTTGCATAAATATGAAATTGCTGATTTGTTTGAAAACTAAAATGAAAAAAACAACAATTAAAAAATCCGGCGTGCACACGGATTCCATGAACATGATGTCATTTGAACAGAAGAACACCAATGAAAATATTTTAAATTGGAGATGGAGATGTTGTAGATGAAGATGGAAGATGGTGATGGAGATGGAGATGGTGATGGAGATGGAGATAGAAGATGGAGATGGAGATGGAGATGGAGTTGAAAATTGAAACATAGACGTAAAAGTAGATAAAGATTGAGATTGTGAAGTTCTGGTCATGGAGAGATTGATGGTCGAATGTGTAGCGAAGGAAATCATTGAAGGAGACCAATCATGTGCAGGGAATTGTGGAGATGATGAAGCTTTGTTCCTGTAGAAGAGCATGTCGAACGTGCAAGAAAGGAAATAATAACGGAATGAGATTGTTTATGTGAGTAAACGTGATTTAGTTTCCAAATATAAAATAAACCTAAAAGAATAATAAGTGACGTGCACTTGTCGTGAGGTGCACTCAAAATAAATACAATACAACAAATATACGTAGTATATTGAAGTAAGGTTCGTATCCACAGGGAAAAGAATACTTTTCTTTTATATGAATAGTAACAAGGGAGGTTTTAAGTTTGATTTGAATCAATTTAATTAACACTAAGATGAACGACTTATATGAGTTTAATTAATAGAGATGAGGACTTGGTTTTGCATTTATGCACTTAAGGAAATGTTCAACGATCCCGGTTATATCTTTAACTATCTTCCTCTCGAATACTCAATCGAGGAGTATATCCAGTTCATCGAGGGTAGTTATTAATAACGAGACGCGTTCACTAATAAAACTTACTACCGAGTCAATATAGAACACGCGCCGTATATTAGCCCGATAGTAGCAATAAACTTAAGATGAAAACGATTGAGATTGATAACCTCAACACAAGCGGTTTATTGGTTTAATCAATATAATTAATTCCCCTTAGATTATTAACCATGAGACGCATGCATTAATAATCCAAGTTTTACTACCGTTGAAAGAACCGAATTAATAACAAGCGTATTAATCGATTGATTCTAGTAATAATTAATATATGAAACAAAACTAGTTGATCCTTTAAGTAATGCTCAAAATATTAATATGAAATATGAATAGGAAATAATTAATATTCAAGGAAGAAGATTAAAGAAAATAACTCACAACATACAAATTCATTAAGCTTCAAAGTAGCAAAACCAAGATGGAAGAGTTTAGCTCCTCATTTGGAGACTAAACATGAAGAAAATATAAAGAAAGAACTATTCTAGACTGAGCTTAGAAGTATATGTGAATTGGTGATCTCATTGTGAAGGAAAGAAGGTGTATTTATAGGCTTTTTGGAATGCAGCTTCGGGTACCCGATCGGGTATATACACGGTACCCGACCGGGTATGTGTAATACTTCAATTTCGAGGTATACTCGATCGATTAAGGAGTAAATTATATAAGCATACCCGGTCGAGTATATTCTTGTACCCGATCGAGTATGCCTAAAACCTCAGATCCGAGGTATACTCGATCGATTTCAGGTTTAATTCAGAAGGGATGCCCGATCGGGTGTGTCGGTGTACCCGATCAAGTATAGACACATGATCGTGGTCAAAATCTTCCCTGCATGTTCCTTTGTCTTCGGATCCAATCCGATTTGAAATTTCAACAACATACGCGATCGAGTATAGGTGATACCCGACCGGGTATAGACCAAAAAATCAGGATCTTCCTTTTGTCTTGTGATTTTGCACCTTCCTTCCACTTTTGGGGTTCACCAACTGTCCTTTGAGTGATCAAGATCTGTTTGATCTCAGAATAAACCTAATCTAAACAATTTACAAGTATTTAGCATACTAAACTATTACACCAAAAGTGTGTAATTTCCAAAGTAAAAATCAATCAAAACTAATTAAAAACACAAACATACATATAGAAATTACAAACATATCAACTCCCCCACACATAGTTCTTTACTCGACCTCGAGTAAAGTAAAATGTTTCCAAATGGTCCAAGAGTTTTCCATGAATTCAAGTAAGAAAGAACATAAAAACAACCAAGGGATTACAAATGTTTTTACAAATAAGACATTCTTCTAGGGTTTTTGGTTTTCTATGCTCCCGCTTTCTGCCTCTTCTTCTTCTTCTTCGCGAGTCTTCTCATTCTCCAAAGAGATCAAATGAGTGCCTGCAAAAACAAATATTTCTCTCATATCTCTCATTTTGCCTAGGAGCCTTTTTAGGGTTTCATCCTAGCATCTCTTTTCATTTTCCATTCTCCCTAACTCACTCATTTTTTATAAGCCCTTTTTGCTTAGATTGCCCTTTTGTTTTTGGGTTTTCAACCTAACTAGCATTTCTTTTCTTTTATTTATTCCTTTTTTGTGTACAAAGATTACAAGAAAGTAATGCTTAGTATAAGGTAAAAACAAGAAAGAATCCAACATACCAAAAGATGAGTTTTCCTCTCCCACACTTGGGTCAAGGCACTATCCTTAGTGCCCATCCGCACCACCATAGTAGCCTCCTCCAAAGCCGCCCCCAAAGCTGCCATCAAATCCGCTACCGCTGCCGCCATCCCCCATTGTGTCGTTGCCTCCACCACCGGAGCTTGAACCGCCAAAGCTACCCCAATGAGCGGGGTCATACCAAGAGGGTGGTTGTGGAGGAGTGGCCATAGTATGAAAAGAGCCTTGATGGGCTATGTAGGAGTACATAGGTTCATAGAACCTACGTTGATCCTCCTCATATCTCCGATTGTCGGCTTGCCGAAGCTCCTCTATTCGTTGAAATCCTGCTCTTTGCTCCTCATCTACTCGGGTGAGCCGCTCTCCCATAGCCATGTAGTTGAGGTTCATTTGGTTGAACCCTGCAAGTAGTTGTTGACCCTCCAAAAGTTGTTGGAGATAGTTGGGTGGTGGAGGGTCTTGGGGCTGTTCGGGGATGTCTGCATCCATGTCCTCATGGTCATGGGGTTCAGCGTTATGTTCGTGTTGAGGGTCTTGGAGATGAGGTGGAAAGGCATTGGGGAATAAGTAATGGGGCACTTCTACGTTGTACAATAGTCGGGGGAGTTCCGGGTTAGGCATGGGGAAGTGTCTTATAGGCTTGGGGTGTATGAGCCAATTGTAAACATTTCGTGGATGGTCATCCCCATACACCGTGTGAGAGAATGCCGTGCACCCCGAGTGGCCTAACCAAGCCATATTCATCAAACAGTAGTCGGGTATAGGAGAGTTATCCGTATACCCGAACTTGGTCACCAAATGCATGATCACCCCACCCACAACAATTGGCCCTTTGGCCGTGCTCTCTTTTTTCCAGTGTGCCCACATCAAGTTGCACAGATTGAAGTCCACAGCTTGACGGAACAAAACCCCAGTAATCAAGCATATGTCCCCCATCCTTGTATGGTGATTGTTGGGACGTCCAAGTAAACAATTCGCCAAAAATTTTAAAAATAACCTTAGGATGGGGTGTTGGACATGGCTTATGTACAGTTGGGAGGAGCTAAAGCGCAGTTCACCGGTCATCTTTGTCCAAAGTGTGTGCCCGAACACGGTATTATCGGAAATGGCTTTTTCGTAGGGGACAGGGATGCCAAAGTGTTCGGCAAACTCAAGTTTCGTTATTGAATATTCTTGGTTGAATAGACAAAACGTGAGTTTGTCATCCCTAAAGTCCTCCTCATTCTTCTCAAAGTGCACCGAACTCATGAATTCATAGATAATTCTTTCATTAGAGTTGTATTTCATTTTGAAAATGCGGTTCATGTCCAACTCATGAAAGAATTGCTTAGTACTCCTATAAATGCCTAGTTCACGTAGAGCCTCATGGCATAGAAAATGGGAAGGTTTTACTTGCCTTGTTATTGTAGCGAGAAGTCGAGTTCGGTGTTCGGTGTTGGCGAATTGGAGGTCCTCGTAGCTCGGGATGGGTGTCATGTTGTTGGAGCTGTCTCCTTTGCTCTTCCTTGGTGCCATTTTGGTGTGATTTGAGGCTTGAAAACTCCAAATTTCGAAAATGGGGTAGGGTTTTCGAACCTTTGAGATTTTGGGGGGGAAATTGGGTTTGTGGGTATGGGTGTGTAGAGGAGAGTGAGGGGAGTATTTTGGTGGTGGAATGGGGTGATTTGATGGAGAAATGAGGGAGATATGGTAGAGAGAAGGTTTGAAAATGGAGGTTGGGGGAGAGGGGTTTGAAAATTGGGTTGGGAATTTGGGGAAGATGAAGTGATTCAGGCTGTTTTGGGGGTTAAAACGCAGGTGTACCCGATCGGGTATCCTGTTTTACTCGATCGGGTATAGGAGGCAGGGGTTCTGGAAGTTGAGTTTTTCAGAAATACAAGATCGAGTATTGTGTTATACCCGATCGGGTATAGGAGGCAGGGGTTTTGGCCGTTGTATTTTCCAGCACTACCCGACCGGGTAGGAAGTCATACCTGATCGGGTATTCGTCTTCTTGCACATTTTGAGCTCCTTACTCGATCGAGTCTTCGAGGCAGGCTTTTTTTAGCTTCGCTTTTCTATGAATACTCGACCGGGTATGTAAATGTACCCGATCGAGTATACATGCATTCGTGAAAAATTTATACTCCTTCGATCGGGTAATGACTCGGTTCCCCTTTTTCAGCCATACCAGACCGAGTACTGTGTGGTACCCGATCGGGTATATCCCCAGATCGTCTGCAACCTGCATTTTATTCTCCTTTGAAACAAGTGATTAGTGCCCTCTCTCCCGTTCTCTCAAAACAGCAAATGAAACTTTGAAACAAATTAAAAGAAAATCTACATACCTTGCTTGGGTTGCCTCCCAAGAAGTGCCTTAGTTAACGTCGCGGCACGACGTCATTGTAGTGTTCATCCTTCATAGATTGGATCGAAAAGATCCATGCGTTCAATGCTTTCTTTTTGGAAACCTTCAAGGAATGGTTTGAGTTGATGCCCGTTAACCTTATAGATTTTATCAGTGTCAAGGCTTTTGATCTCAACCGCTCCATGTGAGTAGACCTTGACCACCTCAAATGGTCCTTCTCACCGTGATCTCAACTTACCGGGGAAAAGACGAAGGCGTGATCTAAAAAGAAGGACTTTGTCTCCAATTTGGAAATCCTTTCTTGTTATTATTTTATCATGCCATACCTTCGTCTTCTCTTTGTAGATGGCGGCGTTCTCATAGGACTCCAGTCGAAGCTCCTCTAGCTCTTGGAGTTGTAGCTTCCTTTGTCTCCCCGCTTGCTCCATGTCAAGATTGAATGTTTTTACCGCCCAATAAGACTTATGTTCGAGTTCGACTGGGAGGTGACAGGCCTTCCCAAATACAAGTCTATAGGGTGACATTCCAATTGGGGTCTTGAAAGCGATTCTATATGCCCATAAGGCATCATCCATGCGAAGACTCCAATCTTTGCGGTTAGGATTCACCGTCTTTTGGAGTATAGACTTCAGCTTCCTGTTCGAGACTTTGGCTTGGCCGTTTTTTTGAGGGTGATAGGCGGTGGAGAGTTTATGAGTGATGCCATACTTCTTCAACAAGGCACTCACTGTTTTGTTGTAGAAGTGAGTGCCCCTGTCGCTTATTAAAACTCGTGGAACTCCAAACCTTGAGAAGATGCAGGTTTTGAGGAAGTCCGTCACTACTTTGGCATCATCGGTCTTGGTGGCTTTTGCTTCCACCCATTTTGACACGTAGTCCACCGCCAAGAGAATATATATAGATTTCCATGGGAATTAGGAAAAGGTCCCATGAAATCTATTCCCCACACATCAAAGATTTCCACGTAGAGCATAGGAACTTGCGGCATTTCATGTTTTCGAGAGATGTTGCCCATGCGCTGGCAATTGTCACAAGATCGACAAAAGACATGGACATCTCGAAATAAGCTTGGCCACCAAAAACCGCACTCTAGCACCTTCATTGATGTTCTTTTTCCTCCAAAATGACCACCGCACGCATGTGAGTGGCAAAATGCGAGGATGGATGCTATCTCTGTTTCAGGAATGCATCTTTGAATTACTTGGTCCTTGCAGTGTTTCCATAAGTATGGTTCATCCCATACGTATTGTTTTGCATCGTGTTGGAGCTTCTCTTTTTGAGCTTTAGAGAAGCTTGGCGGGAACCTGTTTAGAACAAGGAAATTAACAATATGTGCATACCAAGGGCGAATTTCCTTTAGAGACAAGAGGAAATTATATAAGCATACCCGGTCGAGTATATTCTTGTACCCGATCGAGTATGCCTAAAACCTCAGATCCGAGGTATACTCGATCGATTTCAGGTTTAATTCAGAAGGGATACCCGATCGGGTGTGTCGGTGTACCCGATCGGGTATAGACACTCGATCGTGGTCAAAATCTTCCATGCATGTTCCTTTGTCTTCGGATCCGATCCGATTTGAAATTTCAACAACATACCCGATCGAGTATAGGTGATACCCGACCGGGTATAGACCAAAAAATTAAGATCTTCCTTTTGTCTTGTGATTTTGCACCTTCCTTCCATTTTTGGGGTTCACCAACTGTTCTTTGATTGATCAAGGCCTGTTTGAGCTCAGAATAAACCTAATCTAAACAATTTACAAGTATTTAGCAAACTAAACTATTACACCAAAAGTGTGTAATTTCCAAAGTAAAAATCAATCAAAACTATTTAAAAACACAAACATACATATGGAAATTACAAACATATCAATAAGCCCTCAATTGTCCAATCTAATTAAGATTGAAAGACACACATGATCAACTAAAATAGAGGGCTAGGATTAGTTTGTAGGTTAGTAAATTAAGAAGGGTTGGTATCTGATCTCTAATCTATATACATACATACATGTGTGTGTGTGTGTGTGTGTGTATATATATATATATATATATATATATATATATATATATATATATATATAGGTTTTGGTTCAAATAAGAACATGATCTTAGGAGAGAAATGAGAATGAATCTGGACCGTTAGATTTGCTTTAAGTGAAATTCAATGTGCATTAGATGAAACTGTAATGTGCGCAGCTCCATTAGGTGAAATTTAAATGTGCAGCACAAATGGTACGATACAGTGGCATTATGTGAAGCTGAATTGTGCATTAGGTGAAATTGAAATGTGCATTAGATGAAACTGAAATGTGCTAAAATAAAAGGTACGATGTGATGTTATTTTTGTACCTTTTATTTTGCACATTTCAGTTTCACCTAATGCACACTTGAGTTTAAATTTTTATTCTACACATTTCAATATCATCTGATACACATTTCAGTTTCACCGAATGCACAATCCAGATCCACATAATACAATCCAAAGGTCCATATTCGTTCTCATTTCTCTCCTAGGAGTCCGTTCTTACCGGAACCGCTCCCTATATATGTGTGTCTATATATATATATATATTGTTCAAGTGAGAAAATGATCTTAGGAGAGAAATGAGAATGAATCTGGACCGTTAGATTGTATTCTGTGGATCTGGATTGCGCATTTGGTGAAACTGAAATGTGCATTACGTGAAATTGAATTGTGCAGAATGAAAAATAAAACTCAAATGTGCATTACATGAAATTGAAATGTGCATAATAAAAGGCACAAAAATATATATAAATATACAAAAATATATATAAATATACAAAAATATATATAAATATATATAAATATATATAAGTATATATATATATATATATATATAGGGAGCGGTTCCGGTAAGAACGGACTCCCAGGAGAGAAATGAGAATGAATCTGGACCGTTGGATTGTATTATGTGGATCTGGATTGCGCATTTGGTGAAACTGAAATGTGCATCTGATGAAATTGAAATGTGCAGAATAAAAATTTAAACTCAAGGGTGCATTAGGTGAAACTGAAATGTGCGAAATAAAAGGTACAAAAATAACATCACACCGTACCTTTTATTGCAACACATTTCAGTTTCACCTATTGCACATTTCAATTTCTCCTAATGCACAATTCAGCTTCACATAATGCCACTATATCGTACCATTTGTTCTGCACATTTCAATTTCACCTAATGCATATTACAGTTTTATCTAATGCACATTGTATTTCACTTAAAGCAGATCTAACGATCTAGATTCATTCTCATTTCTCTCCTAAGATCATGTTCTTATTTGAACCAAAACATATATATATATATATATATATATATATATATATATATATATATGATGGAGTATATGGCCCGGGAACCCCCGGCCCACAGACTCCTACTACTCCAGCAAAGGCCCAACAGGCCCAAATCACAGCGCCCAGAGTACCAAGCAGTCCGCACAACGCATAGGGGTGCCTTCGGCCCCCTGGCCGAAGGCTCCAAATTGTCACAGAGCGGGTTTCTCAAGCAAACTAAGAAACTGGGAGAAAACGGCGAAAACAGCAGCCCTCGGCACTGTAAGCCCTCGGCACCAGGGGTGCCATCGGGAGGGAGAGCCCTCAGCTACTGCTCTATAGCCGAAGGCATCTCACTCGACAAGATATCCGCTTCACATGCGTACAGATCACCGTACTCTGCACAGACGTCCCATCCAACAGCCGCATTAAATGCGGCCACATGCGGCTGCCAGCGCCAACCAGTAGAGGTGACCCCTCAGCCAATGAGCGCCTGACACGTGTCCCTACCCGGCATTTATTGCTACTATAAATAGCACCCCATTTCCCCATTTGTAACCACGCAAAAAATACATATTGAATATACACTCTCTCTCTTACTTGTTCGCTCCGACTTCTCTCTAAGTTACTCCCGGGGGCCGCCTCCCCCGATGGCTTCGAGGTCACTTCTGCGTCGGCCTCAGGTTCGTCGCCCTCGGCTTCCTTCATGAGCTCAGAGTCCTCTAGGTCTGGCCTCTCGACATCGGGGGGAAGAGGAACGCGGATGTCTGGCTGCAGGGGGGGAGTCCGTATGCTGCCGGGTCAAAGTCCTTTGGCTCGATCTTCAAGTGGCGAGCCATCCTCCGATAGATGAGGGCTTGAGTGAAGAACTCGCCCCCATCGTAGTATTGTTTACCCTTTCGGGAAACCCACTCCACGCCAGGCCCATCGCACCACTCGTCGACCGAGGACTCGACGACCGAGGACAGCCATTGCTTGTGCTCCTCGGACCGCCATCCCCCTGCCAAGAACCCCGAGATTGCGTCCTCCCGGGCTCTCTCGACGGCTTCAACCTTCGCGGCCTCGGCTTCCTTGGCAGCCTTCTCCAAGGCCTCAGCTGCGGACCTCTCGGCTTCTGCCCTACCCCGATCCGCGGCCTCCGCTCGCAGGGTCATTTGCCGAAGGCTCTCCTCCAGCATGGCCATCTGCCGCACAGCGTCTGCATTCTGGCGGATGAGCTCCTGCATCTTGGCCTCCTGCTCGGCCTTGCGAAGGCGCCACTCCTCTAGCCGCCGGGCTTGCTCCCCGAGGGCAATGCAGGTCTACAAAAACAAAGGGGTTAGCAAGGCCAAATATGGTTTCTGAGCTCCAAGTAAAACGGAAAGAAATAGGCGTGAAAGACTTACTGTAAGGGAGGACCGGAGGATCCTGTCCTCGAGGGCTTCGTCTTCATCAGCCCCGAGGGCAACCCTGTCAATCTCGAGGGTGATGCCTCGCAGAAGCGCCCTCGGGTCGGCGGTACCATTCATCACGGCCGTACCAGCCGGGAGGGAAACCATGAGGACCTCGGAAGATGGCCCCTGAACTCCCGACGGCACCTTCGCCACCTGCATGTCCTCATCTGGCCCGGGGGCAGGGCCTTCATCAACAATGATCACCGGGGGGGATTTCTTCCCGGCATCCCTGGTCTTGGGCTTCTTGCCCTCGGGATCTCTACCCGAGCCCTTCCTTTTGGCGGCAGCAGCAGCATCAGCGCTTGGGCCCGCCGACGGCCCCTCCGGTTTTTTGAAGAAGTCACCGGCGGGTTTTGGGACACCGGCGTCCGTCCCCCTCGGGCCCTTGGAGGGTTTCTTCTTCTTCAAGTCTGCAAGGCCTCTAACATTCATCATTTTCACTGGGACACCTGCGAAGAAACAAAGGAATGGGGTTAGAATCGAGGGGACGCTGACCGAAGGCACAAAGAACAAAATAAAAAACAAAAAAAAAACGAACAGGATAAGCTATGTGCTAAGGGACCTCGTAGACTACCTCCCGTTCCCCCGAAGGCCTCAGCAAAAACGGGGGTACTTCTCATCCGCTTCACCAATAAACCGGTATCTGCGAAAGCCGAGGGCGTAGAATCCCTTGTCGGCAGTATAGTCTTTAATGGAGACCTGCTTGGTGCGACCCTCCGGGATTTTTGCTATCACCAGGCCGTCTTTTTCAAGGGCGGCGCTTCCAACCTTCGGATGCCGACGGAAGCGATCCCGAAGTTCCGCCGGGAATGGGTTCTCAGCAACCCTGACATAGCACCAGCGCTCCTTCCAGCCCTTGTTTGACGAAGGCGCCTCCGTAAACAGCTTCCACCTGGCCACCTGCTGCAGGTTGGCGAAGCCCTCCGCATTCGCGTGACCCCCTTGACAGAGGTTGAAGCTCTGGAAGAACAAGTCCAGGCTGGGGGTCACCCCTCGGTCCCTACAGAGATTTAGGAAACCCGCCACGTAGGAATGGCTATTAGGTGTCAGCTGGCAGGGCACCAAGCCGACGAACCTCAGGTACTCCCGGAGGAAGGGGTGCAGCGGGAACCGAAGGCCCATGGATACCGACAGCACGTGTACTGCAATGCACCCTTCGGGCGCCCGAGAGAGCACATCGTCAACTCCCGGCTCGACCACCTCGGCCGAGGGCCCTACATGTAGCTGCGTCACGTAGAGGTCCGCCTTGTCCGCCTTCGACTTTATTTCCAGGGCAGCCGTGTTGAGCCAGGAATACCCCTCCGGCATATCTACGGGCTTCCCCTGATCAGCAGCTATGACCTTCTTCTTAGGGACAGCCGCCTTGGCCTTCTTCTTCCCGGGGGCCACCCGGATGGGAACCGCGTTCAGCGGCTGGGAAGTACTAGCCTCACCAGCACCCCGAGGGGGAAGGACGGCCACAGTGACCTTCGCCCTCTCCTTCTCCTCCTCCTCTTCAGCAACTTGGACGGCGAGGGCCAACTCTTCATCCTCGGCAGTTCGCTCGAATTCCTCCGCCTCGGCCTCAGCCGTCAGATCTTTCTGCACCTCAGTGGCGAGGGCTGCATCACCACAATCCGAGGGCTGATCACTGCTTGACTCCACATCGGAGATGCCTTCGTCCTCCATCGAGGGCGTCCTCGAGATGTCCTGAGAGTCACTCTGGGACGACATTCGCTTTCTTGTTCGAGGGCTCGTAGACGGTAGTGTTTCCTAACTTCTCTATCTCCTAAACTAAGGGCACAGTACAGCTATGCTAGAAGGAGAAAGGCAGGGAGCACTGACCTCGAAAGCTGAGTTTTGGACCGAAGGCTGAACTTTCTCTCTCTAGAAAAATTGACAGAGCTTCGCTAACAAGTTTATCGCACACGGAGGAATGCCTGGCCTTGGGGTATTTATAGGCGCTGGAATCCGGGCTTGGGCCTGGGTTCCGGGCCTCCGGATGGATGCCATCATTACGCGCCGTCGTTTCACCCAACCGGTGACGCCGCCCACGAACAACCAGCCATCACACACCACGTGTGCCATCCCCCCTACGGCTATATCCTGTCGTTACGTATTCCAACGGCTATATTTCCAACGGCTATATTCTGGAAGCCCCCGGGTTTTCTACTTCACTCCACTTCATCAAAGACAGCCTCCGGGTACAATCACTCAGAAGTGCCCCCGGGTTGCGCCCCACACAGCACATAACAGACGCCTTCGAGATCACTCCTTCAGAGACCCAGAGCTTCATAGCAGGACACCCCCTCGGGGATTCCCCCTCAGCACTGCAAAACTGGGTAGCCCCCGGGGAGTTTCCTCATTGACAGATGGGGAGCCCTCGGGTATCTTCATCACCAACAAATCAACAAACAGTGGACCCCCCGGTAAACGCTTCACTGCTGCCCTCATCTGGCAGGCCCTCGATCTCTGGATTGAGGGGCTCCCCTTCGGCGCCACCAGGACATCAACAGCGAGCCTTCGGCTAATCAACACAGGAGCCCTCAGAAGAGAGAGCCCTCGGCATTCCCGTCATTCTCCATTTTGTACCAAGGTTTGACATTTTCGATTCATCATTGGGGGAATTCGGTGCACTCTTTTTCCCTCGTTAGGATTTTTTCCCAAAGGGTTTTTCCTAATGAGGTTTTTAACGAGGCATCCCCCCAAAATGAAACGAAAAGCGTCAGCCTTCGGCCCACAACAGCAACGTACCTACTTTACTCCTTTTCACCACTTTACAAGTGCCTCAAGGAGTGGGGGACTGGAGGACCCCCTCGGGAAAATCATTAAATTACAAAATCTGTGAAAATCCAACAAACAACAAAGCAAGCCCTCAAGTCCCGACATGTGGGTAACTGAGGGACTACCTTCGGCAGGGACATAAGAGCAACAACTCCTCACCAACTTCAGAGATCACGACAGGACAACATCAAAGGGCAAGCACAAATTACTCCTTTTCCCTCAAGTACCTTTCGGCAAAAGGAGTGAGGGACTCCTGATGGAGTATATGGCCCGGGAACCCCCGGCCCACAGACTCCTACTACTTCAGCAAAGGCCCAACAGGCCCAACAGGCCCAAATCACAGCGCCCAGAGTACCAAGCAGTCCGCACAACGCACAGGGGTGCCTTCGGCCCCCTGGCCGAAGGCTCCAAATTGTCACAGAGCGGGTTTCTCAAGCAAACTAAGAAACTGGGAGAAAACGGCGAAAACAGCAGCCCTCGGCACTGTAAGCCCTCGGCACCAGGGGTGCCATCGGGAGGGAGAGCCCTCGGCTACTGCTCTATAGCCGAAGGCATCTCACTCGACAAGATATCCGCTTCACATGCGTACAGATCACCGTACTCTGCACAGACGTCCCATCCAACAGCCGCATTAAATGCGGCCACATGCGGCTGCCAGCGCCAACCAGTAGAGGTGACCCCTCAGCCAATGAGCGCCTGACACGTGTCCCTACCCGGCATTTATTGCTACTATAAATAGCACCCCATTTCCCCATTTGTAACCACGCAAAAAATACATATTGAATATACACTCTCTCTCTTACTTGTTCGCTCCGACTTCTCTCTAAGTTATTCCCCGTAATAACCCTTCGGATATATACCCCCGGGTAGACTATCCATCAATATATATATATATATATATATATATGTTTTGGTTCAAATAAGAACATGATCTTAGGAGAGAAATATATATATATATATATATATATATATATATATATATATATATATATATATATGTTTTGGTTCAAATAAGAACATGATCTTAGGAGAGAAATGAGTATGAATATGGACCATTAGATCTGCTTCAAGTGAAATACAATGTGCATTAGATGAAATTGTAATGTGCATTAGATGAAATCTAAATGTGCAACACAAAGGGTACGGTATAATGGCATTATGTGAAGCTGAATTGTGCATTATGTGAAATTGAAATGTGCACTAGGTGAAACCGAAATGTGCAAAATAAAAGGTACAATGTGATGCTAGTTTTGTACCTTTTATTCTGCACATTTCACTTCCACCGAATGAACACTTGAGTTTAAATTTTTATTCTGCACATTTCAATATCATCTAACGCACATTTCATTTTTCACCAAATGCACAACTCAAATCCACATAATACAATCCAACGATCCAGATCCATTATCATTTCTCTCCTGGGAGTCCGTTCTTACTAGAATCGCTTATTCCCCGCCTTATGAAACTTTGCCAAGCTTGGTCGGTATGTAGATTAATAAAGTAAAAAGAGTGCAGTTGAGATTTGTGTAGAAAAGAGAGAAGGAATGATAATCACAAACTAATCGTTTAAAAGAGAAAGTGGAAAAGTTCTTGGGTGAGCCAAAAAAGGAAATATGAAAGAGAAAATTGTCCAACATAGGACCAAAACTCAAGTTTTCCCCAAAATAGCACTCCATGTATGTTTTTCTCTAAATAGGACTAACCTTACCTTTTTTACCCGTAATTCTATTTATTTAATTAATTGATCTAAATAATTGTCCTCCCGAGTTTCCTTGCATAACCAAGGCAATCCGTCGGTGGCAGGGCAGTCTGTGTGGCGGCAGCACTACGGCAGTGGTCAGCGGCGGATTCCGGCGGCAGCGGCGAACTCCGACAATTAATTAACCCAATTAATTGCCCCCCTAGTTCTCTTGCACAACCAAGGCAGTCCGTTGGTAGCGGAGGCAATCCAGTGGAGGTAGCAGTGGCAGCGGCAGATTCTGACGGCGCCGGCGAACTCCGAGGCGGCGGCGGGCGGCGGCGCCGGCGGCACAAATCTGGCAGGTTGCCAGTAAAAAAACTGGAATTTTCCGGCAGTGCTCCAACGGCGGTGGCCGGAGATCTGGCGGTAGGCGGCAAGTGGCGGTCCGACAGCCCAAGGGCAGGTGAGGGGTATTTTGGTCCAATCATAAATAAAAACTCCTATTTAAGGATGTTTAAACTACGTGCTCCTATTTTGAGAAAAAAAACCATGTTTTGCTCCGGTGTTCCAAACCCCCGTTGTGTCTTCATGGTAAAATGACGAATCCGTAAATGTGGGAAAATATGCATCCGGCTGTGTAGAGTACTGATAAGAATCCAATATTTATAAATTTATAAATAATTTCCATATTGAAACTAATATTTTAATAACAATTTTAAAATGTTATATGAAAACCAATATTTTATACATAAAAACGTAATAAATTTTAAATAGCACTG